TTGACATTTTAGTCCCTATAGTTTAAAAAAAAAAAAAAAGTTATGTTGTGCAGATTTGTGTGGAATAAATGGGCCAGCAAGTAGCTGTGAACATGCTCCTACCAGCATGCAACACTGAACAGTTTGATTTTTATTTAAATAGTGTTTGGGGCTCTGACTACAGACGTGCTTTGCATGTGTATGCTCACTATACAGTGAAATGCTAATTTTTGCTGTGTTGCCCCCTATTTTTTTCTCAATAAATGACATTGTGAAGTTTTTTGGGTTTTTTTCCCCTAAAAACCCACAAAAACAAGCTACTTGAGATAGAATTTACTCCCAAAAGCAGATTCTGCGAGTCAGTCTGCTGTGCTGCGTGCATGCCAGTAGAGAGCTCTGAGATTCTCAGGAACGTAGCAAAACAAGACAAGGAAAAGCATAAAGCAAAATTATTTGAGGGAGGGGAAGAAGGGGGGGGGGGGGGGGGGAGACACTTACCCCACAGTACTACTAAGTCTTGAAAGTTTTCCAGTGTACTGGTGCTGCCAGCTCAGAAGCAAGATTGCAGGACACGAACAGAAGTTTGAGCAGTTTCTCTGATAACGTTAATGCCTTCAGGTTCCAGCGCTCTCAACTCAGCATTGCAACAAATACATTCATATTGCTTCTGGATTTTGAAAATTAACCAGAATACATATCTTTACTACTAACTACCAGTAGAAAGCTAAATTCAAAGTGACAGTGTCAAATTGGAAAAGCTCAGATATTGTAAATATCACAGCTGTTTTCAAAAAACCTTTATCTATAGCTTCACTATCTTAGCGCTAAAGCTCAAAAAAATCCAAACTATTTATAGCAAAAAATACATAAGAACAACCCTAATGAGCAGCTTTGTAACCAAGAACGCACTGTGCACACAAAGTATTTCTGAGCTAACAAAGAACTGTTGTACAGGTAGCAGTAGAGCCTGTATCTGATCCTCCAAAGGCTTTTAGTACTTTGTTTCATTTTTAACATGTGAATATAGGAAAAATTATCACACAGTATTCAAAACAGCACTTATCCTGAAGATATCAGAAGCTACTAGAAACACAGCATAGTTGCAAATGTAATTCTGAAGAACATCTGAAGCAATATGCCAAGTCCTCCTAATTGATACCTTCTTTTCTGAACAGGAAGGGGTGCCAATCAGTTTACACCTTTCAGAATAAAATCCATTCATCCTTAACCACATTCATTACTGTTTTCAAAAAACTGAGGGATTTGTAAAGTAATGGACTTCCTCAGGGGAACAAAGACATAAACGTATCTGATTTGGACATGAGGAGTAACATTGATTGTATTTCCTTAGATGAAAACCTCAAATCAAATAAACAATAAAACCCCAGGACAAAGGCACTGGCTAAAAGACATAAAACCAAACCAGAAATCTTTACAATGCGACTGTTCTGGTTGTTACAAGGGAACTCAGAACTGTGCTCCTTCCTATGGAAAAGTCTGCACAAATTCACTTACACGTTTCTGCGTTACAACTGCAAAGATCTAGAACTATAAAATGATGGTACGATAGTCTACATGGGCATGCTCACTTTTAGAGGCATGCCTCCTACAGAGGAATTCACAGCCCTGAGTTATGCACCACGGTTTCCGTACCTATACACAAGGAAAGCTAATTATCTCTGATTGTAATCTTCAATTGCCATCTGTCTGAGAGGAAAGCTGCCTAAAGTCAGTGGGGAATGCTGGGAAAGCTTGTGTGCTTTTCACAGTGCTACACAGAGATGCCCTCTTTATTTTTAACCCTCGCTGAAAGTTAACACAATCCAGTTCTTCTCAAACGGAAAATGAATGTGTCACCATTTTTGTTGTTGTTTTTGAAGAGGACAGTCACTCATAAGATTGAGGGGACTCAAAAGCTACATTTGACCCTGTCCAGGCAATCTGGAGTCGAATGTCCTGACAGCCCTTCCGCTGAGGTTGTTCTGCACTGACTAAAATACCTACTGGCCCAGCTGAGAGCGAGGAGAGAGCACAGCTCAAGGTCAGGGACTTCGGTGTTCCCGGCAAGGGACTCAGCAATGCAGTCACGGTTTCATACAGCCACTTGCGCCGCAAATCAGCAGTTACTGGTATCACCTTCACTTGTTACTTTCCAAGCTAAGCTTGATTTGCTCCAGGTGAAACACAGTGTCTGCTTCTGCTGTTCGATTCTCAGTCTCAACAGTCATTACATGCTACAACACGTGAACAAGGGTCGCTGATTTTACAGAAGGACTGTAGTATTCCTAAACAGATTAGCTGTCCTCCCCTAACTGAGGCTTTGCTAAGTGCCAGCCTTTGCCCAGGGCTGTACGCGCATGTTGCTTCTCTTACTGAGGATTACTCACAACAGAGCAGCAGGTAAGCCCCAGGACACCACCGGGCCCACCTTGCTCTGAGTCATGACAGGGTGACGAATTCCTTAGCAGCACAGATCTGCTGCCCCTATAACCAAACTGTCCAAAATGGCCACAGGGATATCACATGAGGTTTGATACTGCTTTGGGATAAAACCACAAATCCTGATACCGACGTCTTTTCCTTGCTACCCTGTCCACACCAAACGCAGTTCTATCTCCAGAAACACCAGGTCCTATCAGATGGCGACTCATTCTGCAGAAGTCATAGAACTCCATTAAAGCATGAAATGCAGTAAAGTAAAAGGCTTTTTGTTCTATTCCACTGCATGTGCTTTGCATGGAACGAGATTTAGGTAGTCATATCCTGTACATGCATAGGCATGCCCCTTCCTTCCCTGTAGACCTCTTGAATCCCTTTGGCTAATTTCAGTTAAATTTGCCAGGAGATTAGGATTTTAATATATTTGAGATCTCCACAAGTTCTGTCAAAATAAATAGGCAGCTGTGCAGAACAAAGAAGCCCTATAAGCTCATCTTCCATTGAACATCAGAAAATCTACATGGAAGAAAGACATCAGAAACTGGGTTTCATTATTTCTGTTTTTCAGATAATTCTGTGTTCCAGGGATGATATAAGAAATTCCGGATTGAAAACAAACAAACATACCCACTCCACCCCACCCCCCCCACACACACACCCCTTTGAAGAGCCTGGCACAAACATATAAGTTTCCACATTTCCAAAACAGAGTTGCCTTAAGTTAAACATTTTAAATATACTTTTCAGTCACTTAACAGCTAAAAAACACTTTCTGACTTCAGTTGCCCAACTGTGAAAATCAGACTCTGACATCATCCAAAGCAGTGGGTTTACTATAGGAAATGATCTCTGTGAAATCTGAAGAATTGAGATGCACGTTCTATTTCACCTCATCATTCTTTCCAGCAAAACTCAAAATGACATTCCGCATTTAGATTTGAAAAAAATCTTCAAACTAATACAAAAACTAAGGTTTGGGGCTAAGCCATCTAAGGATGGATTCCCAAGTTGTAAACAAACTACGGCACACCACAAGCGCAGAAGAACGAAGGAAGGAAAACAGCTATTCCGTGTAAATTGCTCCAGTGGTAGTGTTTTAGCAGTGCGGCTGAACCATGGGGTGCGCCACTACAAACATAGCTCAGAGGCCCCTGACTTTCTGAGAATCAGAAACTGTCATGGGTGGTTATAAAAGCAGGTTGGGGGGGGGTGGGGAAGGAGAGGCCTATATAGCATTCAAAATCCTCAAGTGAGGCAAGTAACTGTCACCCTATTTCATTAAATATTGCAAAACTTTTAGGCAAGCGGAGTTAGTAGCTTTCCCTCATCGTAACCGTTTCCTTTGAAATAGAGGCTTTTCCCAGCTAACTGAATGAAAAGACAGTAACTTGTCTACACGAGGGACACAATCAAGACTAGCTACCACATGCTAGCAAGCCTTGGACACATTCACCAATATGGACAAATCCTAACTTGCCTTGGCACTTCATCAGGTGGATTTAATATTATGCCTCCACTTAATCTTGTGCAAATTTTCTGTTCAAACAGGCCCTACAGGGTCTCTCCCATCTCCATCCCTAACTCTGCTCCTATTCTCAATCCTGCACATCAACTTCAGGCTATTTGAAGTGCTGTGATGATTGGGGTGATAGTGTTTCCAGGGTGCTCAGACATGACACTGGCGGAGGTTGTAGACAGGGAGGTTGAAGAACTTCAAAGAAACAGGAAATACCTATTTTGGCTGCCAAAAGATGAATAAGGCTGTGATTTCATCCAGCAACAGCACTTTAGAGGCAGCCAAGCACCTTCCCCTCTCCTCACCGCGAGGAAAAAAACTCTCCTAAGCTCCTCTCCCTTCCTGTTGTGTCAGAAGAGGGCTTGTACACTCCTGTCCTTCCTCCTTCCCTTTAACAGACCAGTTGCCCCCCACAGGCTGTCATGTCATGGTACAAAAACTGTACCAGCTCAGCACACAGAGCAGCAATAATTAGCTGCCCAAGAAGGAACTACGTAAGCCAAAACTTACAGCAGAAAAAACAAAAAAAGAAAAAAAGATAGCAGCAGAAGCACACTGAGAAAGAAATTCTTCCTCCCCTGCTCCACACTCAAGGTTTTTACGCTAACCCACGTGCATTTTGTATCTGTATTCCCATTACCATATGCATAGTTCACTGCCCCGCTCCACTGCCAGTTAAGCTGATGACATTCCCCTCACAGCTGGCCACAAGACTCTAAGAAGCAGCAGTAAAGAAAGCAGCACCTGGTTACTACTGTATTAGGAAAGTGTCAGCCTGCAGATCTGGGCTAACAAAGAGGTTTTCTGAACTCTGCAGCAGCTGATCTTTTTAGTGTTTCCATCTTGTACTCACGAGGGCTAGAAACAGTTCTTTCAAAAGTAAGTTGAAGAGTCTGTGGAAATCTAAGATTGCTAGCCACCCACTTTACTTACAAAGTTTTCTGTTGGCTAACGGCTGAAAAGAAGGCAATTTCTTTGTTGTTACGGGAATGGAAACCTACACTGTAAATCAACAGATTCAAAAGAGAGCTTAACTTATTAAGTCCGAACTTCATTTCGTTGCTACCTGTTCTTAAAACCAGTTCCTTCCTTCGTTATCCCGTTCCTGCATTCGTAACGGAGGGGATAATCAGTTTTGTGTCTTTTCAAAATTTTCAGCCTTCTCTCCCCAGCTATGGCGAGTGGGGGCTATTCAAGCTTTTGCCTTGTTCCTCCTGGCTCCCCGTGGATGCTGGAACATAAAGAATAGCTCCAGTACAATGTACTCCAGTTACACTGCTGCTGCTAGGCCGTGGGAGCAGAGGCAGCACAGAACAGTCACATGCAAACATAGGGTATTATCAAGGCGACACTTAAAAATTCACTTACTCTGTTACAATGGTGTAAAGGGTCTTCTAGCTGAGATACCAGGGCTTCAGCTTGCCTTCAAGACAGAAGAATGACCATCTTCTAAACACTGAAGAGCTACCCTAGCGAAATGACCTTTGAAAGAATGTGATAATTTAAGATGATAGATACAGAACAGAGCAAGAAGCATTACTGCAGATGTATTCTACCACATTCTGTGCCCGCGTGCATTCAAAGCAACTTTCAAATGGTAGTGATATTGCATTCAAGCTACCTGTCCCCTATTTTCACTGCACAGTACACACCACCAACGCTGCCCATCTCTTTTCAGCTTTTCAAGCTCTCTGCACAAATACCAGCTACTGATATCAGCGATTAAAACACTTAACCACTAAGTGAAAGCAGATTACTTTCAATGCAGTACTGAACAGTGACTTGCAAAGGAAACAGCTTGCACATCATACTTTCCTCCCCACCTCAACGCACATCAAGAAAAGCTGAGCTTTTAGGTTCTTCTGTAGCAGGATGAAAGAAAAACTTAACACACAAAGAAATCTGCAAAAATAAGCAAAATCAGAAGGTCTACTCCAATTTCCCCTGAAGATTATGAATGGGTACAGAACTAGTCACGTGTAACATTGCAAACATGGAAATAGAAGAAACAGGATTAAAGGGGAAGTTGAGGAATATTTTATTTTGCTACCAAGCTTTTGCTTTTCTGAGTAAATTGATGGTAGGAACCAAACTCAGAAAGAGAAAAAAACCCTCTACAGTCAGTTACTTCATAAATTAACTTCCCCATGTTCTTTACTAGCTTCTTCAGAAAGCTAGTGTGATTGATGAGCAAATTTTTCAAATGGGTGACAAGCAAGAGGTTACAAGCTTTATAAATTTAACTCTTTTAAAATGTACAGTGCACTTTTTAGCTGATCTAGCTAAAACACTGCCAAGCATCTATAAGGATAGATTTCCATAAATAGGGGTATCTCAAAACCATTCCGAATATGTACTTGACTAGGAAGCCACAGCACAGTATCCTACTACACATACATATGCAGTAAAAACAACCTTTAACATTTATAAGTAAAATAACCTTATTCTTAAGGCACAAACAGAACCTGTGCTACAGCTCAGTCTACAAATGTGAAAAAGGTAGAGCTTTTCCTTACAGGCCCCCTTTGAGGCAATGATGCAAATTACCCCATGCAGACACATGGTGGTCCTCAAGCTGTATCTTTAGATTGCCCATCTGACTTGGTTCTCTTCCAGGCCGAAATACTTAAACCAAAAGCCATAGCAACACGTAAAGCAACGCACAAGAAGCAGAAAACCAGAAATCAGCCAGAGCAGGTTATGAGAACTCTCACCGTTCTGTCTCAGGAGGACAAATCAAACCTTCACTGAAGGACACTAATCATACCGTGCCCAGGTACTAACAAAGAAAACAAGATCAGAAGAAAGAATCTGTCTGCTCTTCCATCCAAAAATGACCAAAGAATCAAGCAACCATCCAAAATCCTCCCAAACTATCGCTGCTTATGAGTTTTCAAAGGCTGAGAAGCCCCTCAAGCACTTGCCACACCGTGAACGAGACCCCTCACTATCTCAGTTGCTGCCTTCCCCTCCTCAGCGAGGCAACACCCTTGCATAATTTCTAAAGCTATTATCTTAGCAGAACACATGACATGTATCAAAATAACATCTTGCCAAACACCTCCTCTACCTAACACTGTAATTCACCTCTTTCCCCACAAACTGATAACACTCACATATTTCTGGGCTTTGAGCCACCGTTCAGGTTTTGCTGTCCTGCCTGCACCCTTGGGTACCTGCTTGCAGGCAATCGATCCCACAGAGAAGTTTCCCTTCTGCTTTTGATGGGGACTGGGGGAATTTGGACACTGGGGGTTTCATGGGTCTCAGGGGGTGATTTCTACACCCCACGGGCAAAAGAGGTCTCCTGCAGCTAGGAAGAACCTCAGGAAGGCCAGGGGACTTCTCTGCCTTTAACAGTGTTGTTTTAAGGAGCAATGTAAGCCTAATGTTAGGCTTAAACAGTAACTTCACAGATTCTACTTCAGGTTCTGAGCAGAGACAAATATGCTGAAGAAGCAGGTACTTGCATCAAGCCGGAAAGCAAGTTTCATAGACTTATTTCACGTAGGTGAGAAGAAAAACAAGAATATTGATGCTGCAATCTTATGTACAGAAGGAAAAGTACTTTAGTTATAGAAATACCACATCTGTGACCAAATCAGATGGGAATATTTCCTGCTAGAAAGCAAAAGGAGGGCAAAAAGCCTCACACCTGTTTCCTTTAATCTCTCCTTAAAGTTTTTTTTTTTTTTAATTTTTGATCAGTCTGGCACAGTGACATTCTCCACATTCAAAGTTATATATATTTTTTTATGTATAGCATAATACAGTAATGCAACTTTTATGCTGTTCAGCTACAACAGCATTGTCACACTGCAGAAAATAATGCCATTCCATTGCAAAGTTCACCCTTTCTAAATTGCTTTGCGCTCATGTTGTACGTATAAGTAGCTTGACACAGAGTGGGCAAAAAACAGGGAAACAAAAATGAAGAAACCTAGACAGAAAGTTTCAACGGGGCAACAGTAACGTAACTTCCACAAAAACATGGATCGACTCTCGGCTTTACTAAGCTCTGACTCAAGCCCTGAATTGGGAAAAATTCCTGTTCACCTCACTGGAAGTTTCAACTTGAAAAAGGACGGCAGGATTGCGCTCACAGTTTTAAATAACTGAAACAGAAACCCCAACTCCACTGCCAAATAATAATCTTCAAAAAGCAGAGAACATGAAACTCCCAGGGCTTGTTTGTTTTTGCCCCTAACTACGGACAATGGATTTGCACAGAGGCAGTCCACCCCCCAAGCCATTGTTGCTTTCACTAGGCCTTCGGTTTTTCAAAAGAGACAGTACCTTCCTTCTGATAGTCCCACTAAAAGTGATCTTCTGTCGGAGCCGGTTTAACTGGTAACCATAGAAACACCGCGAGATTGTCAGATCGAAGCGGTTTAGCAGGAAGAAAAACAAAAACAAAAACAAAAAAAACCCAAAAACAAACAAAACAGATCTTCCTTCAAATTTTACTTACGGACCGCTCCCGGCAGCCGCCGGCGGGGCTGCGCGGCTCCCTCCGCGCGGGCTGTGCTGCCGG